ATACCAGCTCTGCTGTCTGTAAAGTATAAGAATAAAAATGAAATAACATATGTGAAAATGCTTTGTTAATTGTCACGTACAGTACAAATATGAGAGATTATTATCGTCATAGCCCAGCTCATCAGAATGAGAAGTTGTATGTGGCTTAAAATAATCCATCCAGTGAGCTGTGTTGAAATGTAGGTCAAATCATAGCCTCAGAAGTTGAGAGAGGCTGATGGGAACCACCTAATCTAACAGGCCAACAAATGTGAAGGTGCTTTGAAAGCTGTAAGGAATTACATAAATGTAAAGTGAAAATTATGTCTAAGCCTAGAAAGTACATTTTAGTCATCCCATTTCCTGCTTCTGAAGTCATAAGGATCCAAGTGGTACTGGAGCCTCATGCATGGTTGTATTTGCACTGGTTTGTGGATTGTACTTGTGCCTCTATTTGTGTGTATGGACTCAGTTATTTACTGAGCACCTACTATGTGACAGTCACTCAAGTCTTTTTGAGTGCCTGCCTTGTGCTAGGTGCATCAGTCTAGGCATTGTGGATGCCAGCGTGACTAAGATAAAGAGCTCTTGGCCTGGCCAACACCATAGCTGACAGCTGCAAAGCTGGGCAGTGGGCGCATAGGAGAGGAAGAGTCTATCGGCTCAGCCTAGGTAGGGGATGGGAAGGGAATCCAGGAAGCGAGGCTGGAACAGTGAGTAAGGGTTTGCTGGTGAACCTGAGGGGACCATTGGGCAGAAGGAACGGTCAGTGTCAAGGTGCTAAGAAAACAGAAGCAGCCTGCTTTTGTACCTGGTGTGGTATTGGGACCCCAGCGTGGAGAGGAGACCAAGGAGACCCAGCTGGATCCTGGGCACCTTCCTGCACATGGGCTAAGGAGCTCGGCTGGATCCTCTAGGCCCCTGGAAGCCCCCTCAGCAAGGGTTTAAGCTCTGTGGAGTAACATAATCAGCTTTGCATTTTGGAAAGATCACGGAGCCCTGGTCCTTCTGCGTATCTCACGGCAGCGGCAGCAGCACCAGCCAGATGTTGGGATCTGTCTGGCAGTGAAAGCTGCGTATGTAGGGCGCTGAGCTGGGATTGGCATGGGGGAGGGGTGGGGTGGGAGTGATGCGCTTCTGTGAAATGTGCTGGTCAGGATGTGTGAGCCGGGAGGAAGTTAGCAATTCTTGAGTGACTATCACATGTCAGCTTTTGATATATTACCTCATTTAATTCTTATGACATCACTGCAAAGTAGATATTATTTTTATTCTCCCCATTTTATAGATAAGGGAAGCAAGACTTGGAGGTTCAGTAGATTGCAGTTACTAGTAAGCAAAAGCAGAGCAAAACTCCCAGGCTAGCTCTGCCCTCTCCTAAGCCCACCTGTCTAGAATTTCCCACTCCCGTCTCCCACTGGAACGATGGACTAATTCAGGACCCTTACTTGACAGATGAGGAAACCAACCTGGGCTCAAATCTGTTCCTGCTAAATGGGTTACTGTTTTCCAGCTGCTCGAGATTCTTGTCTTTCAGAGTATTAGCGACGCCTCTTAATTCAGTGCTACTTGCAGATTTGATAAGCATGTTTTAAATTCCTTTGCTCAACCCATCAGCAAAGTTATTGAATGAAACAGGCCCCGTGACAGATGCGAGAATGAGCCACTTGATGCGCCTCCTTGGAGCCATCAGGGGTTGGGGGCATGGCCTGAGCCATCTGCTCACCCTTCTCAGTGTCCCAGCCCCCCCTCCTAGGAGTGTGAACCTCAGGCAAGCCCAGGGCAGAAAGCACCACCTTCCACTCTGCCCTGCAACTTGTGGCTCCGTCACAGAAGAATGACATGTTGGCAGAAGGTAACATGCTTTTCACAAAGCTGTGCTTCAGGGCCAAGTGGAAAGGGCATGGGCCAGGAGCCATTCAAGCCTGGTTGTGAATCCTGACCCGGGCTTTCGCGGAGATTTGTTTTCCCCAAGCACAGGGGTGTGTGAGGTGTGTGAGGCCTGAGTGCTGGTCCAGGTGGATAGAGTGCCTTGCCCACGCTGGGCACAGCAGCCTGCCTGGTGCTCTCAACGCTCTCTGGACACATCAGGTTCTGGGGAGGTAGCCTGGTATTGGGGGGTCCACCCCTTCTTCCTGGGCTGGGTTGACTTGAATCTAACAGGGAAAATAATGTGCTGAGCATCCCTCACCCGCTAGGCTCAGCATGCATGGCATAAGGTGAGGAATTACAGCAAGTCTGCTGTGGCATAGGGTGGCCTATCAGGGTCCCCAAAGGCTTTCTCCACATGCCTGATGGAAGCCAGGGCTTGCCTGTCCTGAAAGGTCAAATGTCTTTGTTTTCAGGTCATTGCCATGTGGAACTCATGCTTCCTTTTTGCTGATCAGAGGCTCTAATTGTCTTTCACATCTTTGATTAGCTCAGTATAAAAGTTAGAAAATGAAATGAATCCCTCTGTTATAAATGCAGTTTATTGAAGAAATGGTTCAACTCCCAGAATTTCTGGGCAGGAGTTTTTCCAGACTCTGTTCTGGGCTCTGGAGAATTCAGCAGTGAACAAAACAGACAAGGGGACAAACCATTTATCCATCTGTCCTCTCAAAAACCTGAGAAGCAGGCAGAGTGGAATCTTTCACACCCCTGTTTTATGGATGAGGTAACTGAGGCTCAGAAAGGATAGTCCTGAAACTAGAAAATAGACAAGCTGGGCACATACCCACTTTGGTTTGCCCCGGCCCTTTGCCCTTTCTGTGATGTCACATTGACCCTGATAGTTTTATAAATGCTAAAGACATTTATAAATGTCTTTACAAATGATCAAGACAGTGCCCATTTAGCAATGGTAGAATCAAAGCAAAAGCACCATCTCAGCCTGAAATTCATCACAGTCATATAGACCAAATAGAAACCTTTGCAAATATTAAGCTGCATTGGTAGTATTTCCTCTGTGTGTGATCCAAGGGGTCCTTTCTCAAATGGGGCTGTGGGGTCCTCAGAGGACAGCTCGTATCCAGCAGTCCTGACTTCCCACGGGCATGTGCTCTCAGGCCAGCCTGAGCCCTCCGAGGCTCCCCACCAGCTGTCCACTCTCTCCACGGCCTCTCTGCCCTCATTCATTCTTCTGCCTTCCTGAAAAGAGCCCCTCAAGGATCTCTGGTCCTGGGGCCAGCCTCCCCCTCCACACAGGATCCTCCACGCCCCCCAGCCCCCGGCTTCCTTTCCAGATTTCGTATAGGCTGGACTCCTTGAATTGTCCTCTTCAGCCCTTCTCTAGCCTCAGTCCTCACTGCCATGTCATTCCGCACAGCTTAGTGTTGCTGCTCTCGAAGGTCAGCCGTCAGTTATGACCCCTGGCCAAATTTCACTGTCCTCAGCGTGTTCGCAGCAGACGACTTGGGTTGCTTGGGCTGGCAGCTCGCTCCCTCCTTTCTCCCACAGTACACCAGTGGCTTCTCCCGCACCTCGACTGTTCCCTCTCTGTCTCCTTTATCAGCTGTGCCCTCTCTCTAACTTGACCATGGCCACACTATGTGCGAAGGCCTGGTGCCTCTGTTCCTCCTCCACTTGCACCTCTGGAGGCCTCCCAGAACCTGGGCTGTGATGGTCTGTCCCACAGGCATGCCTCGGACGGTGGGCCCAGTGATGTTCTTCCCATGGGTCTAATGTCTACAGTTGGACCCTTCCATTTGCTCATCCCACCGTCACCTGAAGACTAATGTGGCAAACCACAAGGTGTTTTGCAATCACAGAAAATGAAACTTGAGTGGGATGGTGAGGGCCATCTCAATGAAACCTCCGGGGAACCTGTGCCCCTCCATCCCGTGATATCAGCCCTGCTCTGATTGGTGCCTCCCTAGGGAGGGCCCCAAAGCCATCTTCGGCTCTTGACGTTACCCAGGGCATGAAGACAGGCTGTCCCTCTGCTGGGTTGGGGTCCCTTTCTCCCTCCCCAGCATCAGACCTACCAGTGATTAGTCATGCCGGAGCCCGGCTGAGTCAGAAGAGGCTTGTGGGTGGTTTGTGGCCAGACTGGAGCAGTGAGGCAGGACTTTCTAGGTTTATGTTTCTGCGCCCCAGAGAGAAGCTCCAAAGGGCCCGGCCCTGCGCAAGTGCTGCGTGAGGGCGAGCAGCAAAGCAGGCTTCTGCTCTGGAGCTCAGTGAATGAGAAGCACTGAGGGGAGCCAAGACGTGCCCCCTGAGACACTCCATGGGGCGACAGCATATGCACTGCCGGTGCTACATGGCAGAGACTTCAGGGTGGGGATATTTACAGCAGCTGTAAAAGTTCTCCGTTTCCTACGATAGTCCTCATTTCCAGTACTGCATGTACTTCAGACAGACACCTCTAAATTTTTACATACATACATACATATATATATGTACATATATACACACACACACACACACACACACACACACACACACACACGTTCTTTTCCTTTTTTTCTGTTTTGGGTGGTGACTGGCCAGTGTTGGGATCTGAACCCATAACCTTGGTATTATAAAGCTGTGTTCTAACCAACTGAGCTAACTGGCCAGCCTGACATCTCTAAATTTACTATTTCTTTTAATGTGAGTTTATTCTTTTCAATAAAGATGATTCATTAAATAGATCACTAGCTTAATTTTTGTATATGTGTAAGATGTTTTCATATAAATCAATTCCTAACTCAGAAATCCCATATCAGGATTTGCATTATGATTTTGTGGTTCCGAAAATGCGTTCACCAGGAGGGAGCAATGCCTTCTGCCGGGTCAGCCGGGTCTCCCCTGATGTCCCCCCGAGGGTGTGTTCACATGGGTTTCCAAGAAGTGGCTCACACGTTATCAGGCAGGCAGGGGGTGAAGAACATCCTGGGGTGGGGGGTGGCATGGTGCATCCCTGGAAGTGTGGCTCTCATGGGGGTGGGATGGAAGGAGGCTGGGGCTGGAATGCGGGCCACAGCCAGCCCAGGAGAGGCCTGGAATGCTGTGCCTCTTGGATTGGCCTTCAACCTCACAGGCTGTGTCTGTGCCCACAGGACGGAGAGGAGCAGGAGGAGCCTCGTGGCAAGGAGGAGCGGCAGGAGCCCAGTACCACAGCCCGGAAGGTGGGGAGGCCTGGGAGGAAGCGCAAGCACCCCCCGGTGAGTGTCCCATTTCACACACACACAACACACACGTGCCTGTGCTCTGGACAGCAGTGATGCGTGTCCCGCAGGACCCTGGGGACATAAAGACCAGGTGATGTTGTGAGTGCACCCCTCCAGCTGCAGAACTTGTTCACCTTGCCCGTTCTTTGAGCCCATGGCTATGCTCATATTTCCCCATTTCCTACGCAGAGAACTGGAGGCCCTGAGAGGCAGGGTCCTTGGCTGGTGGGATTTGGAGCTGGGACTTGACCCAGGCCCTGACTCCAGCCTCCCTCTGGAAGGGCAGCAAGAGAGCTTGCCAGATTCCCGGGCTGGACAAGGACCCCCTCCAAGCCTGACCACACACCCAGCTGGGGTCTGAGCCCCCACCTGAGAACCTGGAGGATGGAAACTGGGGAGGGAAGAGGTACAGGCTGGTGGGATTGTCTGTGAGAGAAGAGGAGACTGAGGGTGCTGTTGAAGTCCTGTGGGGGTGCAGGCCGCAAGCCCTGGCTTCTGGGAGCCATTGCCGCTGCGGTCAGGGCATGAGAGGGGCTCTGGAGGACGAGGCCTGTGGACTGTAGGAGCTGCCTCTCTTAGGTCCCAGACTCGGAGGTGGAGCAATAACTTTCCCAGCACCAAAGACAGCTGGTTCCTTTCTTTTAGTCCCTTCCAGCTGAGCATGGCAAACTTGGAGCAAGAAGGTAAGGGGGAGGCAGGGGCTCTGGATTAGTAACTCAGCCCTTCAAGGAAATGTTCTTGGCAGGGCAGGGAGCCAGGATTTTCTCCCGTGGGGTAGAGAGTCAGGGTCAGTGGTGGCTGAAGTGCAAGAGGACAGCAGAGGGAGGGAGGTGGGTTCTTAAAGGCAACATTTTGGGAACCCGCTGGGTACTAAAGTGCACCACTGCCAATTCTGCTTGAATTGGGAGGGGCGGGGGGGGGGCAGAAGTTAAGTAATTTAACTGGTACATAATTTTAAACATTTTAGTATTAAAGCAAACATGGATATTTTATGACCTGGAATGAAAAATTCACATGACATTGAAAGATAAAATGGGACTTCAAAGGAATTTCTGCTTGTAGCAGCCTCTGCAGGCTGCGCTCAAAGATTTGGGGTGCTTCTGTGCTCCACTACTGTCAGAGCACCCAAGGGAAAGGTGGGGAAGGGGAGTGGGCTGGAGTCAGAGCCACTGACAATTCCTTCCACACCTGCATGTGTGCCCACCTCCCTCCGAGGTCTGCAGAGCAAATATCAGATCAGACGGACAAGGAGTGAGAAGGGGGTACAGCCCAGTGGGTGGAGGAAGGTTGGTGGGTCCCACCTACCTAGGTCTGGAGCAGGCTGCAGTGGGGAAGGAAAACACTCTTTTTAGAGTCCAACAGACTTGAGTTCAAATCCCAGCTCCACCACTGATCATCTGTATGACCTTGAACAAATCACTGCCTGAACCTGAGGGTCCCCTTCTGAAAAATAGAGGTCATGAAGGATGCAGTCCTTCTAGACCCCTGTGACGATGAAATGGATTAAGCACCGATGAGCCTCAGCAAAGCTTGGGTCTGCCCCTGCCTGCTAGACCTTTCCTCTTCAGGAGGCCACAGCAGCTGCAGGTTGACAGAAGACACAGCATCTGGATTTACTGCTTCCCAGCTGTGTGACCATGAGCAAGTTGTTTAATCTCTCTGAGCTGCTTCCGCATTGGTAAGATATGGCTGCCAGTAGAACCTACACTGTCCACCTCCTAGAGCGTTTTGCAAACAGGAAAGCAGGGTCCAAATGTGCAGGGCTGGCAGTGTAATAAACATGCTCCACTGCGGGGGCCAGTGTCCACAAGGTGGGGTGCAGGCCTTTGGGGTGGGGCTGGCACATTCACCTCTCAGCAGCCCTGGTGGGAGGTGGTGCACATCCTATAAAAGTCATAGTCTGAATGTGGTCCAGCCTGTGTCCTAGGTGACACCTGTAGCCACCTGGACTCAGGAGAGGCCCCAGGGTGGGAGCAAGTATGGGGAAGGCAGAACTGGCTGGGGCGTCAGGGGGCCTGTGGCAGCTGTGGGAAAAGGGACACCTTGCACACTGCAGGAACGGAGGAAGACTGACCCCAGAGAAAAACAGCCATCACAGCCCCTCCTGGGAGCCCACGATGGGGAAATTCCTGCCACATCCAGGAGTCAGCCTGCGGTCCTCCGCCTGGGTTTCAGGCTCTGATTCGGGGCCTCAACCCTTGTGGAGCAGGTGCTGGTCCCAGCCTCCTCTCTTCCCAGGCAGGAGTGCAGCAGGGACGGCTTCTCAGGGACCTGTTGCAGCTGTGGCCTGGGAGTAGCTTTAGTAGGGAGCTTTAAAGCAGCTGAGTGTGTCATCCCGCTAAGCCTGGAGACAGGAGGGAGCTTGGCGCAGGTCCTGACAGGTGTAACGGGAAGGCGCTGGGAAGTGAGAGAGGACACCCTGGCGGGAGGCTTCCTTTGTGCACACATTGCACAGTCAGCACTGGACAAGGAGGGCCAAGTTACATCCATGAATGTCCTCACCATCACCCAGCCTAAGGCTAGGAGATCTTTAGCTCTCTCCTCCTTTTGCTCCCAAGGTTTGTCTGTCTGTGCCTTCAGCAGGCATCTGTCTATCCCTGGATGCCTTCCACTCATTCCCGCTGCTGCGTTGGCCTCCTGGCTGTGCCCTCCCCAACCAACTCCACCTGCCCCCAGTATGCCCAGGCCAGTGTGCTTTCTAAAACCCCCAGCCCCACCTCCCCTTCATTTTTTTTTTTTTTTTTTTGTCTTTTGTCTTTTTCCGTGTCCGGCAACGGATCGCAACCCTCAGTGTTGCCCCCGTACCGGACCGGGGACCGGCAACGGGATCGCAACCCTCGGCGTTGCTCCCGCGCCTCGCTCAGCCAGTGAGCGGGAACCGGTCCATATGTGGGATCCGAACCCTCGGGTGGGAGCGCCGCCATGCTTCCCAAGCGGCGCACTATCCAGTGTGCCACCGGGC